CAAAAGATTTGTGTGTCTGAAAATTTCGTGGTAAAACAGACCTGTCTCCAGTCCCCTTAACCCGACATAACCTGTCAAACCGTTAAACTCTAACTTATTTGAATACCCTTATTATGTACAATATATACCAATATATACGTTGTTATACAATTATTTTTAACATAATTGATTATCTTTACAATACAATAATGTCATATAGTAATATTTACGTAATAAAGTAAAGTAATGTGCTTAAAATATAACTATAAAATTACTAAAGCCCCTACAAACGCGCATCGTAAGAGATATTATTGTATTATTGATATATACATACTTTATAATAAACGTGAGTATTTATTTTCAATTCAATTAATTATTACTATAATTTTAAAAAAATTTACAAAATATTTTTAGCATTCAATCAATGTAAATTTTATTAACCTATTTACTGCTTTTTTAGATAAAAATACTCGCGCGACGATATCGCCCGTCAGACGCTTTGGAGTTAACTTGGGCCGCAAGTTTGTCAAGCAAATCTTCAAGTTTACTACAAATATGACTAAAAATCAAGATTGTTTAATTAACAGCAGCTAATGTTTTATTTTACATTAATATTTGAGGTAAGAGGAGAAGTATAATAGGAAAAAATGCATAAAGAAAAAATACTATATTTATTTGAATTGCTATATTTATTTATTTGAATTGCTTTTCTGTGTGATAAATTTGAAAGCATGAAACAACACAAAGGGCAACATTACAATGCTTATACAACTTGACTCCTGAGAGTCTGACTAGTTTCCTTACACAGAAAAAAAAAGAAGTGTCAAATCAACACTGATATATGTACTTGATATACGCAAGAATATATAATCTTGAAATGAGATTATATTGCGTTAAACGAAGAAAACTTGCTTGAATGAAGTCATTTATATAATAGTTAAACAAAGTTTTATATAGTTCATTTAAGAAAAAAAAATTAAAATAAAAAGTTGAAATCCTTGTAAGAAGATTATATATTCTTGCGTATATACAACTATATACTTATCAGTGTTGATTTACTTCTTTTTTTCTGTGTAACAAACGAGTTAACTCGTCCAAAGCGTCTGACGGGCGATATATTGTCGCGCGAGTATTCTCGTCCAAAGCAGTAAAAGGATTAAGAAATGCGATTTCGGAATTTTTATTATATATGGATTACGTTTGTTATATATGGATGAAATCGGCATAAAATTCTCTATAATTTCGGTCCTTATAAAAATTTCGGAATTTTCAAAAATAACATTCAAAAGTGGAGGTATATTAAGAAATATGACAGTTTTTTGTCTAAAACATTTTTTTATATACCTCACGGTTTCAGACATAGTCATCACTCATAATCAAATATATGGAATTTCTTCGATGGGTTGTTTCGTGCTAAACATGCTTCGAAGCCGATAAAAAAAATACGTATCTGTTATTTTTTGCCACTCTAAAACATATCCAAAGTCCATCAAAATTGGTGAGAGACAGTTCCAAATGTTCCCTTGTCAGATTCGCACGGTGCGAGAAAGAATTGATGACGAGAATGCAAGCTGCGCACACGATGGCGAGGAAAATGCACAACCAGCACAACTATCACACTGCTGGATATCCCGGTGCTGGAGGTTTGTATAAAGCCGGTTCTACAATTAGTCGTATGTCAAAGTCGGATGTCAGAACGCATAAATCGTGCATGGAGTATGCGACGGGATTTGGTTTGCGTTGGGGACAACAAGGCAAAGTTGCACATGCTAAATCCAAAGGATGATTTCAAGCTAGTGAAATCTTATTCCACCGAGCATACGAAAGGGATAACGGAGGTGCATCTGACGCACGGATGCCTGATAACGAGTTCCACGAACTACACCGTTAGAATTTCGAGTCTTACGGATCCGCCAAAGCCCATCGCTACTTTACGTTCAGAGTTCGGAATTAAGGATCCGCAGCGTGAGTATCACACGCGTAAGATTTGCCGAAAATATCGTAACATTGAGTTTAAAGAAAAAATTCATGAAATGTCTACGTGTAAAATGAGAAATGCAGCTCGACAGGTCCAAGATACAAATCAAACATTGAAAATTAAATTTTTACTTACATTTACATTTTGAAATCAAGTTTTATCATTATCTTCCGAATGTTGGTGAGGTCCTCCTTAATTCTAACAAGTCTTATTTTGCGACATCTTGCACTATGTAAAATATTACATGTAATTATTCGTGTCTCTTTTATGTTGCTGATGGATTATCTGAATGAAATACTCTTATTGCAATATCCGGCGATAGTAATATCGTGGTTTGGCATCCGAAATCGACGCGTTGAACAAAATATCAATGAACAGAGAATTTCTATATGCGTGTTCTGTAGCTATTGTATAAGTATATTGCTTTGATATATAATTTTGTATATTCTTAGTTTTTATTAAGATATTCTAACGCGTCTTATAAGCTTAGCTTATAATTATTGCCTATTCATGAAGGGATCTTATGTTGAAAGGAGAATAAGAGAAAATATATTTTTTTATACTATAGTTTAGTGCCATAAGTATTTAAATATATTTTATACATAGCATTAGCGTATATCGTACATCATATTGTTGCATCCGCGCTGAAATGCCCGGTAAATGGGAGCCTGAAAGAAGTCGCGAGTCATTTTCCTTGACGACCGGTTGTTTTTGTAAACGTTTATACTAATAAGGAGATTCTGTGCTGCGGCCTTTGAGCTGATAACACACGTAACGCGAGACGCAAGCCGAGCTGTATTTCTTTATTCTTCGAAATCACTCTTCTTCGAACCTAAGTCCGCTTCTTTCGCGAGACCGGAAGTGAGCGAGTGCTTGTGAGAGTGAGGAGCGTCTCGGGCGCTCACCGAACATATACTAAAGGCTGCGTTCAAAAACTTTACTCGGGTGCACAGCGCGTCGTTCTATCTTTGTTACTTACTAAAAATTGAACAAGGACAGAATTTGCGCCGTTGTCCATTTACCGACGTTGAACAATGCTGGTGTGCGCCCGAGTGAAGTTTTCGAACGCAGCCTAAGCGGACGCTTTCCACGCGGCGAGCGCAACAATGTCATTTATCGTTTCTCGTTTTGCAAATTTTTCTGATAAGGTGTTTTATATTATAATATCATGCATTTCCTGGTCATGTAAAATTGTTCGCGTGCAGACTCGAGAAGCGGCGACGTTTAGACTCTTCGAGTATATACCAGACGCTTATTTATAACATTATAATATCCAAAGTCATTTATTCGAGTAACATATAACGTTTCTTATCTCCTTTTAATCCCCGAAAAAACATATCTCTCCCGAATCATCGCCGGTCCCGTGATCGTGGGATGGAATTCTCCAGGATGTCGCGTGACGTTTCACATTACGTTCCCATTGTCGGAATTCTTTATGTCGCAATTCGATGGACACCGTTAATTAAATTTATTAAATAAACAAGCAAATTTAATTACATGAAAGAGTCGATATAGATTGAGCAAGGCACGCACACTTTTTTCGCGACACCCTGTATATAGGGCTGCGTTTGGAAACTTATTCACTCGGATACACACCAGCATATTGTTCTGTCCTTATTTAATTTTAGGTGGCGTCGCCACGCTCATGTGAATGTACAGAAATCCTCTAGTAAGGGATAGGGCACCGAGGCTGCAGGATGCGGATTGGTCGTCTGCCATTAATGGGATATTTCCGCTTTGAGTATATTTTAGTAAAGATAGTGTATAGTATATGTCAATTTATGACATATGACCACAGTATAACTGTAGGGGAAAGGGTGGTACCCCGGCCAATGGGTAGCCTCGGCCATTGCAAAAAATTAAACTTTCCGTGTGTTTACTATCAGTGTTTTGTTCTTTCTGCACTCATTTGTGTCCCACTAGACACGTGCGGTTAGTTGAGTCAGATTGGTTGTTGTGTTTGGATGTGTAACAGTGAATATTGGGTTCGGCGAAATATAATCACGCGATGATTAATATTGAAAAAAGTGTATTATTGAAAAGACGTAAGTAATTATGTATTCTACTTTATTTACATACTGCAAAACTATTGTATGTTATGTCTTTCCTTCTGCTTGAACAAATCTTAACCTATTTTGGTAATGGAACTATGATTTTGAACAAAGTCAAGTCGGGTAGCACCGGCCACCAGTTTTGTGGGTATAGCTCCGGCCACCTATTCGAAAGCCTATTTCTTTTTAAAGGTCTAGACAAAGAGGTTTACTCATAACTTCTTTTATTTATTTATTGTAGACGGGTGTTAAAATGCCTAAATTCAAAGGCAGAAGTACAAGCCGAGGAGACTGGAGCGAAGAAAATATGAAAAGAGCAATTCAAGAAGTTCTTGAACGTAAGAGTTCTCAGAGAGTTGCCGCAGATAGATACCATGTTCCACGCACTTCACTGCAGGATCGCGTCAAAGCTATAAAACAAGGTCATCAGATTAATCTTAAGCCAAAACTAGGGCGTTTTCAGCAAACATTTACCCCTGAATTTGCAAGACAACTGTGTGAGCATGTCATCGATTTGGACAATCGTGTCATGCCTTTAACAAGAAGTGAGTTTTTACGCCTTGCCTTTGATCTAGCAGAAAAAATCAAAATTCCTCACAGGTTTAATAAGGAAAAGCGGATGGCTGGGAAAGATTTTTTCTGTAACTTCAAGAAGAGAAATCCAGATTTGGCACTGAGAACGCTTGAGGCGACAAGCTTGATGCGAGCTGTAGGCTTCAATAAATTCCAGGTTGATCGATTTTATGATCTTTTCCTAAAACTCCAAGGACAGTTCAGGTTCAAAGCTTCTCAAATATATAATGCTGATGAAACAGGAGTCTCTACTGTCCATAAAAATGACAAGGTATTGTCAGTGAAAGGGAAGAAACAGGTTGGGGAACTCACATCAGCAGAGGTCGTAATGTCACTGTCATGTTTGCCATCCTACACCTAAATATATGAATGCTGCAGGTCACTTTGTACCACCCATGTTTATTTTTCCAAAGATAAAAATGGATAAGAATGGTCGTCTAATGATTGGTGCTCCTCCAGAAAGCATTGGTGTTGCTTGTAAAAACAGTTGGATGAATGCTGAGACATTTCTTCGATGGCTACAACATTTTCAGCAGCATGTTCATTCTTCTGCAGCTCGTCCAATTCTCCTAATATTGGATGGACATAGTAGCCATAAAGAGCTGAATGTTATTGAATATGCTCGGAATAATCATATTCACATGCTGAGCACTCCTCCGCACACAACTCATAAGCTTCAGCTGCTTGACCGTATGTTTTTCAAGCCTTTCAAGCAGGCTTTTGGATCAGCAAGAGCATCATGGATGCGTCAAAATCCTGGTGCTCGACTGACGGAATACGATATTGCTGGACTTGTTAACACAGCGTTTACCAAAGTTGCTAGACTGGATATAGCCCAAAATGGCTTCCGCTGCACGGGAATTCAGCCCTTTGATCGAGACATTTTCTCAGACCTAGACTTCTTAGGTTCTGCTTTGACCGATATCCCACTGGCTGAAGATCAGGCTAACCAATCAACAACCCAGGCTTCCAGTCATGCAGTCCCTGAAAACGAAACGGAACCATCGACTAGTGCTTTACCTGAGACCTCAGCTACCCTTCAGATGGAAATTCCAAGCACATCCGCCAATGTTGAAAAAGTTAATGACATGCTCAAGATTTTATCGCCTCTTCCAGACGCCTCTAAGAAAAGACTGACTGTAAGAAAAAGAAGGACCCAGAAAAGTCAGATTTTGACGTCATCGCTGTATAAAAATGAGCTGGTGGCGAAGACCAAAGATCCTAAAAAGATGCCAAAGATCACGAAAAATATGAAGAACCTATTGAAAAAGAAAAATCCTACACCTAAACCACGTCCTGAACATCAGGAAACTGAATGCATCATTTGTGGTGAAACGTTTGATATATGGATGGATTGAGGATTGGATCCAATGCAATAAATGTCAAGACTGAGCTCATAAGGCGTGTAGATATAAATCCGATTTATACTACAACTGTGTGTTGCGAAAAAACGATTTCGTCATTAAATATTATGGTGGCCGGAGCTACCCACCACTTTTCTACAGAGGCCAAAATTAAGTCTAAATTTGAAGTAGTTTTTTTCTTAACTTTGCTATATTTTTTTGTTTTTTTCGTACTAAATTACGTTAATATATATCTTGTTGATTATTTTTGTGTAGTTCGTTTATGTTTATGTTCTTAACTTTAGTCATAATTTAAAAAATAAAAAAATGGCCGGAGCTACCCCTCTTTCCCCTACATACTGTGTTATAACTAATAAAGTGAGCAAGAGAAAAAATAAAAGTGTAAGCATTACTTAATAAATCCAATTTTAAAATTAAATGTGTACTTAATAAATCCAATTTTAAAATTAAATGTGATTTTATATATTATCATTTAATACTGAAATGAGAATATATATATAGCGTTACATAAGACAAAGACTTAAGGCATAAAACACTGCCGAGACAGCCATTCTGCTTAGGCCCGAAACGTTCGGGTTGTACCAGTGTGACAGAGATGAAGTCGTTCGAAAACTTCACCCGAGTGCACCTCAGGAGGAAAATTTTCCACCCTGAAATTTCAGGGTGAATGCGGGTAACTTATTACATTTGGCGGCATTTTTTAAACTGTAGCAATGGAGTTTCTTCTTCTATGGAACTGTTCCGAATAGATTCTAATTGAAATTATTCCGTTTTCTCTAAAAAAAAAAAAAAAAACAATAGAAATTTAGGGAATAATTGAATTTCGATCGGAATCAATTCCAAACATTTCCAGTCGGTTCTAGTATATCTCTGTGTCCAGTACTTCGTATACAATACACCAGGTATTACGGAATTTTTTCTCTTTGAAGCGAGGCTGGCGAATATCGCGTATTGTGCGTTAAATACGTGAATTTGTAGCTCCTATTTATTCCCGGAAACAATTTTTTACATCAAAACATTTAAATATGTATAATTATATAATATTATGTAAAATATTATATAAAATATGTCCATATATGTCCATGTATGTTTTTTTATGTATAATCTCTGTTCATATGTACAAGAAAAATAAAAAGAAAGAGAATTAGAAAAGAATTAAAAAGATAATTTTTGCATTGTTTATTTATTTGCCTATATATAATCATATACGTATAATCATATGTAAATGTAATAATTGTATATAAAATCTGATTATATACGATTATATAAGCAAATTTTTCACACTTTCTCAGATTTTATTTTTTGTTGTAAAAAAACAATGCAAAAATTATTCTTTTAGTTATTTTCTAATTCTTTTTCCATATTATTTTTTTTGTACATACGAACAGAGATTATACAAGAGAAAAAACATGGTATTTAAATGTTTTTATATAAAAAATGTTTTACCGGGTTTGCGTTGCGATTTGCTGAATTGGTCAAACTGTTAACCTATCTGATTAGTTGGATTTAAGTAAAGTTAATTATATTCTATTGCCTACCGCTAATTTATTATCAGATTTTATCTACGTTTAATAATATCTTGACGCTATTACTATTATGTTTTTCTATTATTCATATTAATTAATAATTCATGTTATGTAGGTATTATATCTTAACAGTTGCTTAAACGATCGATATATTTTACACTCCTTTTGTAAAGTAATAACTGATAATTTTAAATAAAAATAAATATATTATTTTATCGTTATTTGGTAATTGCACCACTAATTTTACTAAAAGGAAATAGAAGCTGTAGAAACACTCAACGGTTCATCATTACTACAGCATAAGTAGATATTATACTGTGTGTCATTATTACTATCTAGATATAAACTATCTAAAGCTATCTTGATTAGTCCCAGTCTACAATAGGCGTTTTAAACCCTAAGCCCTAAGAAATTGACCAATCACCAGTCAATTATTCTCCTCAAATTCAACTGTGATTGAACAATTTCTTAAGGCTTAGGGCTTAAAACACCTATTGTAGACCGGGACTTATCGATTCTTGTCCAGTAGTCATGGCACAGGATACAAATAATATTTTCTCGGGATTGCCTTTCATCCGCCATGTCTTATTACTTATGCCGTTCGAAAACTACTTACACCCGGGGTGCACCCTGCCCCCACCACTATTCACCCGAGTCTTCCTTCAGAGGGTCGATTACAGTTCTTGTAACGAGGTGAAAATTACAAAAGTGAACAGATTTACTAGATTTCGATTAATATAATCATAGATACTCTAGTAAATTTCCTCACTTTTGTAACTTTCACCTCGTTTTAAGAACTGTAATAAGCCCCATGGTAGCGTTTCCGAACGCAGCCTGAATGTAGAGATCCTCTAGTCTAGTGAAGGATAGGACACCGAGGCTGCAGGATGCGGATTGGTCATTCGCTATTAATGAGATATTTCCGCTTTGAGTATATTTTAGTAAAGATAGTGTATAGTATATGCCAATTTATGACATATATGATTACAGTATAACTGATAAAATGAGCAAAAGAAAAAATAAAAGTGTAAGCATTGTACTTAATAAATCCAATTTTATTAAAATTGAATGTGATTTTATATTATCATTTAATATTGAAATGAGAATATATATATAGAGAATACATAACCTCAACTATAAATAATCAAATTAACTAATATTGATAAATATAAGCTTAGATTATCGCGTCAACACATTTTTAGTATAAAAATGATTTTCAATATTGTTCTGTTTTTTTCATTTATTGAATTTACAAATTTGGTAAATTTATATAAAAACTCTTAAATTTATAAAAAAAAATTATTTATTGCATTATTTACTGCATTTATTAACTTTTTGTAATAAATTAAATTTATCAGTATTTATTGTTTGTTACTATTTACTCAATTTCTTAATTTACGGAATTTATTTCATTTAACTCTTTTCGGTCACATTTCCCGAGAATCCCGTACCGGTCACACTGGGTGAAATACACCCCCAGCGTGTTTGCACGTGTATAAAAAATTGTAGGTGACCTTAAGGAAAAAAAAATATCCTGTCGTAGTTTAAGTCTTTCTTAAAAAGACTGTATAGGTTTGATTTGCAAAAAATTTAATTGTAAGATTAAACGAACTTACCAAGTGAAGTTCAATCTTAATTATGCCCTATGTCTCGTCCGGATGGAATAATTATGTAGTCGTGCTCCTGCATGCGCCTAGACAACAGCGTTTAAAGCATTGCCCTAAAATGCAAAAAGCAAGCGTGCGCCTGCGCCTTTTCAGCGCCCTCCGCGCGGCCCGCGCCTCTGGGCGCCGCGCGCGCCCGTTCTTCATAAGTTCAGAGAAGACAAATCGCGAAATATCAGGGAGGGAAAAAACACTAAAAGGGTGGGCGTCCATCCGGACGAGACATAGGGCATAATTAAGATCGAACTTCACTTGGTAAGTTCGTTTAATCTTACAATTATGCCCTATTGTCTCGTCCGGATGGAATAATTATGTAGTTGTTCAAATTATGTTCGCGATTTGTTAGCCAAATATTGAAACATAACAAGAATATTATTCACATTCTAATGTTGATGACGTAAAATGGGCAACGCATAAATATATAAAAAATAATTAATAATTAATAAGTCTGTTACATTAGGATGCCGTAACCCAGCGAGAAATGACGTGTCTATAGACGTCGGTTAGATGTCGAAACGACATCAGCATTCTGGCTGGAAAGTAACAATTGTTTTTTTTTTTTAATTAAGTTATGCGCTAGAGGATATAAATTAGACCATTGTGATAGAAAAACCGCGGTACTGAAATCCTCTGGATTAATGGCCTATTGTAAAGGATTGCGAAAAAAATGATGGGATTCACTGGTCCAACCTGCCGCGTACCTGATTCGGTCGAGCGAAAATCCCTTTTAGCAACTTTTAATGTTGACGCGTGACGCGTATTGTGAGCTGAGAAAATAGTAGTATCTATTCCGCATTTATCTACGCTCTGTCGAAACCAACTGCTTGTAGTTTAAGCCGTGATAGCTTTATATGGCCTAGCAAGAGAGATAAAAAAAAAGGAAATCACATTCCGATGGCCATGGATCCTTAGTTCTATTTATGTAATATTCTGTTAGGCAAATGATACAAAGATTCTCGTGGTCCTGGAGACGAGAAGGACAGAGAGGGGGTTGAGCACGGTCCGGTACTGTCTTGATTCGATCGGGAATCCGCAATATCAATTTATCATTAATAGAGATCTGAGAAATTCGAAGGGAAGAGAGTGTAAATACACGCTGACCCGCAGCGAGAACAAAAAGTAGAATAAGTTTCTTGGTAACGACAATCAAAGGACGTAAATATGGATAAATAGAAGATCATTTGACGATCACCGGAGCCGGATTCTAGACGTGGTCATAACAAGACTGCGGCGGATTGTGCGCTGCAACACCTTTGCAGAGACGCTTAACCGCCGGACGTTAGCCGATTTCGTTCTGCGAAATTAACTCGTATTTAGACTGGAATAAGCGGCGGAGATGCTAAGTTTCTGAGCTAGAGAATCTAGCGCTTGAGGAATCGTTGGAGAATACAAAGATAGCTGATGGCGATAACAGACATCTCACCAGAGGTGGCGAGGGCGAGGGTATTGCTTGATAGTTGATTGTAGCATCGTTGGTATGGCTACTGATGGATTACTGATGGGCTACTGAGAGATTCTCTGATACCTTCCCGGCTATTAGGGAGGGAGTGTTCCACGCTGGATATTGGTTTCTGAAAGGTAAAGAAAGCAGAGAGTAACTGAGAGGAAGAATTAACAGGTTAGATATCAAGGGGTGTTGAAACAATGAAAAGCATGTTTGGGGAAACCACCCTGGCGTCACCAAAGTTTCCGTTGCGCCTTCGTCCATTATCTTTTTCAATACGCGTTTTAACCAGCAAAAGAGTGTAAACGCGTAGAAATTCAGTCTTTCCTCTGAGAGAGTGCGCGCATATATTGTTATAGG